GGTACTACCCTAGATTGGCTTTCCTCCTACAGGAATGCTTTTGGCTCCTGAAAGAATGCATTCTCTCAGTTGAAAGACATCTTACCATGATGGTAAGGACTTGCCTTTCTCTACTTCAAGTAGGGATTAATTGCATGGCCTCCTGCACCTTTGTGATGCCACATATCAGACTTCTGCCCAGGTCAGAGATATTCTCCTACACAGTACCAAGAGCTCTGCCAAGTATGCTTACCTAGTAATGAAGACTAGATTGTATAACTGGTGTTGGTTAAGAAATGTTTCAGATATTTCAGTCCTCTATTCCTGATGCATTGGAATGTTGACTGGAACTCAAGTCTACTATTTTGTTTATGAGTTCAATTAGAGTCTACCTCATGGCTATATCATTGTGCCATCCATTGACCATCATCTTATCGTCAAGAACTGGCCTGTTTTCTTACTTAGTTACCTTCATAGTCCTTAGGGCCCTAACTAAGGTGTTCCTTATAAGGGGATCCTAAGGTATGTCATCTTACAGTGGGATCTGAACCTATTCCTCACATCTTTGATGGTATGGCCCTTTGAGTGGATGGTGACCTGCTTGATACTTCACCTGTCCATGAAAACAAGATTTTTGGTGGCGATTACCTTAGCTATCTAAGCCCTCATAGAAGAACCTCTCTATATCACTTTTTATCCAAATAATAAGACTCTAAGGACTTGCCTGACATTTCTTGTCCAAGGTTGGCTCTAAATTCCATTTGATTTAGTAGATGAAACTAATTTTTATTCTTTATAAATCCCATTTCTCCTGATCTGTGACCTATCTACAGTCTGCCAATGTTAAGTGGTTTAGCTGTGAATAGGAGCAAGCCATTCCAAAAGTCTCTATGACTGTTTGTTTCTATAGCTGAGATGTCTAAAGGTGCAGTGATATAATCCTCTAAGAGAACACTGGGCTCCATAAAATGATGCTGTGGCTGCTACGGTGAACTCGTAATCTATGGTTTGGGTTTGCCCCACAAGAGCTCTTTCAGAAGGTCCATTTCCATAGCCTTCCTGCACAATATTCCATAAGTGATGTCTGTAAGGCAGCCATCTGAAACCTGGTACCATGTTTTTTCACCTATAACATGCCCCCAAAGATGATACACACCCTGTTTTTTAGAAGGCAGAATGAAGGAAAAAGTATTTTTCCTTGAAAGTACCAGTGAGTAATTCAATGTAACATAACATGCGCCCCTACTGTAGCCATCAGTGAAACACCAGTGGTGTCAAGTATGTGGGGGAGTCGATCACTGCTCCATTAACCCTTTAGCTGCTACTACTTACTCAGCAGCAGGCTGTGCCTGACAACAGCAGGGTTACCTCTTTAAATGAACAGCTAGGGGTGGGGGAGAATCAGAGGTGAAGAAATCTACTCTGGTCCCCTGGGAGAAGGGGAAGGAGGAGGAAGAGAGGAATATGGTATCATGTGACTGCTGCAGAGGATGGGAGACAGAGTTTTACTTGCTTTGGTCAGGGCTCCCCACTATCAGAACAGGGATTCTGTGAGCAAGCAGCAGCCCAGCCAAGAACAGCCTGCTTACTCTCTGAAAGGGGCTGCTGTGAGCAGTCTGCAACTCCAGTTGGGGACAGACTGTCTGCAATGGCCCTGTGGTGCAGGCACCCCAAGAGGCACCCAGGACTAGTGCCTTGCTCACAGCTCTCTGCTGTGGCTGGCAACCAAATAGCTTTATGGTGTTTTCTCCCACATAGTGCAACCCAGATTTTCAGTAGCTTGGTTTGTTGTTTTTTTTTTGGCAAAAAAAAAAAAAGTGTGGTCTATATGCCAAAAATACAGTACTTATCTTTATAAAGAATTATGTCATCATGGGAGTCTCATAGGTAAATGCCACATTTTGCAGAGTAGTTGTTCAGTTGCTGTGTAGCCTGGGTGTACACGGGTTTGTACTTTCCTCTTTAATTGAGGGAAGTATTGGCAGGGCAGCATGCTGTGGAGGGACACAACAGCCCAGTGGCTGCCTCCGTCCCCTATAGAGTCAGGTTCAGTCAATTAATTACTTAACTATATACAGGTTTATTATTGCAACAAGTCCTTACCCTTTAATGGTTATATATTATATGTGTGTGTATGTATGTATATGTATATACGTATATGTGTGTGTGTGTACAAATTTACAAAACAATATACCCTATAATATATATATATACACACATACATACACACCCAGTTATCATTTAAAATACAGATGAACAATAGAACAAACCAGATCAAAGAATATTGATTGGGCAACCTTGTAACTTTATTCATATACAAGCTATTACTTTAAATTATTTACATAAACTGTAAGGCACAGTTCACAAATATAATTAGCAGCTCTTGGACTACCTGGGTACCCTTCAGGGAAGGGGCCCCACTCCCAAGGTACCACTATAGGAAAGGAGGTGGGGGGAAAGAAAAAGGAGAAGAAGACCCCAAAGACTCCTAAGCTTTCCCGCTACCACCTAGGAGCAGCCCATGTGGTGCCCCTTTGCAACCCTCAGGGGGGTCCCTCCCCTGTGGGGACCCTCTCTCCAGGGTAACTTACTACTTCACAGTCCCAGAGGGTTGCCTCTTGTTTTCCAGGTCAAACTTTATTTCCCGCCAGGTTTTCCTGCCGCCTGCTGCCACCATCCTGGCTTAGGGCCACAGCCACCTCTGTGTGTAGTGGGCTCTTCACCTTGTGCTAGGGGTTGGGGGCCTGGACAGCTTTGTGCAGCACCAGGGCTCAGTGTGTTCCCGGACCCTCTGGGCAGCATCGTCTGCACTGAGCTGCTGCCCCATGTCAGCAGTTGTAGACCTGAACCACCTCAAGCGGCTCCCAGGGTCTCTCACCCTCCGTGCAGCACCTCCTGCACCGAGCTCCCAGCCTTGTTCTGGGGGTTGAGGACCTGAGCCACCCCAGGGGCTCCAAAGATCCTGCTCTGTGCCCTGGCCTGTGCACCGTGTCTCTGGCTGCATGCCCGAGATTGCAGACCCAAGCTGCCTCATGCAGCTCCCAGGGTCTGGATGCCATGCTGCATACCAAGAGCCTAACCGCTGGAGCCATGCCATGCTCCCTGCTGATAGAAGTTTTCAGGGGCTCTTCCTGGGCTACTGCTTTGCCCTGCTTCGCAGCTCTCCTCAGATCTTCTAAGCCCCGCTCTTCTCTCTTCTCTGTCCCCGACACATCTGCCCCTCATGCTGGGCACACAGCTCCTTTTATATGCTCCAGGGCTCCGCCCCTGAAGCCTTCCAGACCTGACAGTTTACACTCTTCAATCAGGTCCATGGGGGAGCTCTTCACCCCTTCCCCTCAGAAAAGGGGCTTAATGTTATTTTTCTTGCTGCCTCCTGATTGGTGGATTGGGCTCCACCAATCAGAACAGCAGGATCTCAAACCTGGGACTCAACCCAAGCTCTGAAAGGTAAGCCTGCTACAGCTGTTTGCCTTTGGGGAGTGAGTGCAGAGGTGTTGCAGTGTAGCTGCATACCTGGGGCAGCCATAATGCATCTGGGGCAGGGCCAACTCTTGCCATGCTGATCACAATGGTGTGATCAGCCACCACTACAGTAATGACTGCTTCTGTACCCCTTTCAAAGCAACTACTCTGGTTGTCCCCCCTCAGTTATGCTCCTGGGTCAGATAGCTGCTTTTGTGTGTGTGTGTGTGTGTGTGTGTGTTGCGGGGGGGACAGGGGAGGATCACTGCTTTGAAGTCACCCACTAGTGAGAATGTGTATATGGACAATTTTCAAAATAGAAAACCAATTCATTTACTAATCATTGGAGTTCTTCAAGATGTATTGTTCATGTGTACATTCGCACTCCACCTACCTTGCCCTCTTTTGGAGTTGTCTAGTATAGGACTGTGCATCTGAGGGGGAACTGAGGAGCAGGAAGCACACAACATCCTTTATACTTGCTACAGAAGGGACAGGAGGTGGGACTGCAGCACGTGACAGAGATACTGATAAAGCAAAATAGTCTTTTAGAAAAAATCAGAAGCATGAAACACACCCACAAGTAAGAATGTATTTGTGGATTATTCATCTTGAAGAAGTCCAGTTACTGGTAAATAACTTTGATTTGTCTCTAAGATGGCATCCTGTCCTACCTTCTGACTGACTTCAGACTAACATGGCTAATTATCTGTCTCTTGATTTGTCCTGTTCGCTGTTAACTTCAGCTTAGAAGTTATTTATGTGTGTAAATCATTTCCCTTTTTTCCTGTCATTTTCTAAAAGGGCAGTTTCTTAGCAAAGTCCAGATGAGGTTTGCTAGGTTTTCCTCTCCCATCTCTACAATAAACAATATTCTGTGGAGATTGGAGAGAGGTGAGAGAGAAGGGCTCACTTCTTGTTTGTGTCTGTAAGAAATGGGAAAATTCTTCCTGAAATAAAGATGTTTGATGCTTTCTTTGGGAGTGCTAAAAGGCAAGAATTCAGAAATGTCACCTAAGATGAGTGGAATGTGAAGCTTTGGTTTTAAGATGTTCAAGATCTCATTTTCAGAAAGTGAACACTGGTTTTGGTATGTAGAAAATGGCATACACCAGACTTGCCTTACATGTGTGTGTGATAAGTGAATTGTTCTTCTGTTTGACTTGTGTGAAAAATGTGCATATGAAGATTTATCCAAACTCTTCCATTGGTCCAGTGGAACCTACTTTCCTTGGGGTCTGTTCCTGTGACAATTTAAGCAATCCTACCTCCATAATGTCTAAGGTGGTAGCCTTTTTAAGTCAATGGGATATCTCTCACGAGTGTTGTTATATGTATACATAAATATTAACAATATGGGACTCTTGCAGGCCAGTGGGAGGCCATCTGAAAATTCAGCATCAAACCATTCCTAGTTATGAGGTTATTTCCATCTATACCCAACCTTCTGTCTAATTTGTGAGGCTGAAATGCTTGCCTTCTTCACTGTGTAATTTGCAGGAGGAATGGAGATGATTCACTCATCTACTTTCTTTTTTTATGCCTTCTTTTCCCAGATGGTTGATGTTTTCTTCTTCCTTTTCCTCTTTGCTGTGTGGATGGTTGCCTTTGGTGTGGCCAGGCAAGGAATTCTAAGAAAGAATGAGCACCGTTGGGAGTGGATATTTCGATCTGTCATCTATGAGCCATACCTGGCTATGTTTGGGCAGTACCCTGATGATATTGACGGTAGCCATCTCCTATGTGTAACCCCTATGTTCAGGAGCAGGCCTAATCTAATGCTTGATCCAACGTCTTGAGGGTGCCTCCAAACTGCTCATTTGGCTTAGCATGAAAGCCCTTCAGCCACTTTCCACTGAGTACCTTGTAATGTACTCAACCCTCCCCAGCTCCAGCCTGATCCTCCAGTTCCCAGTCCTCCTGGACATTAGCTATTCTGTTCCCCCTTTTTTTCACTGTCTGCTCACTCTGATCAAATCCTCTTCTGAGCCTATGTAACAACCCACTTCTGCCAAAATAGCAGGAAGGTGGGAAATTAATATGAAATTCCATTGAGCCCTCAACTGTCTGTTTCAGTGATTGCCCTAGTATACTTGCACGAATGGTAGGCCAGCAATAGCTGGAGGTGTGTGCAAGGATGTAAATGCTTCATGCAAACCTCCTGCTAGTGATGCTAACCCTGGTTTCAACCAGTGATCATTTCCACCTAGGAAAAAGTATATTTTTTCTGTCTGCAGTAGCTGCAGTTGCAGGAAATCCTGAAGTGTGAATATTTTCCTCTCCACACAGTAAACAGGCTTGCTTTCTCCCCCTTCCTGACCTAGGTACCACATATAATTTTGATCGATGCACCGTCTCTGGGAATGAGTCTAAACCTTTATGTGTGGAGGTGGATGCCAATAACCGACCCCTTTTTCCTGAGTGGATCACTATCCCATTGGTGTGCATCTACATGCTTTCGACCAACATCCTCCTAGTGAACCTGCTGGTTGCCATGTTTGGGTATGTAGTAGACTAGCAGTTCTCTGTCTTTTGGCCCCTGGGGTCTCCAAGATGAGCAGGCAGAGGAAAAGCAGGTCCATGAGGGAACTTCCCTCTTAAGTAGGGAAATAAGGAATAAAAGGACTAGAGAAATGGATTCCATAGACTTAATGTTCCCCTGGAAAAGTCACAGATAATGGTTGCGGAGTGTGCATTTCTGAGGAGTTAGGAACAAGGTTTCAACACCCAAAACAAAGCCCTTTGCCTCTATTTAAAATATCTGCCCCATTATCAGAGTGACAATCCTCCTAGCTTCTCCAAAACCAAGAGAACAGTTCAGTTGACATTTGGCTCCATCAGAAAATTTGTTAGCAATAAACAGGGATGCTTATCATAAAAATGAAGCTAGCATGTATGCATGATGAATTGATTCCATCAGCCTTTATGGTTCTGTGAGAGTTATATAAATCCTGCTGCTTTCAAGGGACTGAAGAATAGTTTTCTTGATCTTTAGGCATATGCGGACTCAATATATGAAGCTAGCTGAGATTTAGCACAATGTCAATGAAGCATTTGCCTGAGCCATGGGCTCAGTCTGCTGGGTTTACTGGATAGAGTGACCATCTGATAAATAATTCATCCTTACACACTTGTTTTCATTCCAGGAGGAGCAAAATCTCCAACAAATTGACTTGCATGCAGTTGGTGCTTTTCTTGGAAAACTCATTTTTGTGACAGCAGGGCAAGGCAGGGCTTATGCTGTGTAAGGGGCATTACTTAACTATACTTTCCCAGGAGGAGTATTCAGAAGGAGCTGCAATTTTTCTCTTGTGGATTATTGCTTATTACCTTGACCATCTGCCTGTATTGAATTAACTGAATTGCTTAGGACAATAATATTTTAATTAGCATGAGGACTAATAGATGTACTGTAACTGTTTCTTGATTACTATACTCTAGTAGCAGGTAAACACCCAACCAACATCAGGGCCTTATTGCATTTGTTGCTGTACATACTTCCCACTCAAACAGGACTGGGCTTCTTGCCTGTAGCTGCTTTCGTTTTAAACCTGATGGAAGTAGTGCCCACCTTTTCCATAATATTCTAATTAAAGCACATGTCCAAGAAATGGAAGGCCTGGAACTGAAAGGGCTTCTAATTCACATCTCCAACTTCTCAGAAGAGTAGCTTAATTACTATGTTATAAGCTCAACCTCTCATGTTCAAGTTGGGCTGTAATGTAGAATAATGCAGCAGTCATGTGGCCAGTAGGGGAGTAAGTAAATGAAAACCTGATTTTTCAGCCCAGTGGCTAGAGACTGCGGGCTGCAGAGGAGGGTTATGATCCCTACTCCTAAGATCAGGGATGGGAATTCTTTCAGCTGGGGGCTATTTAATGAGTTTTGGTGAGCTCTCATGGGCCACAAGGGTAGCCCTGCCTCTTGACAAGTGCCCCGCTCCCTGCTCGCCATCTTGGGACTGGAAGTCTCGTCGCCTAACCCCTGACCTTTGCCACCAGAAGTCCTTCCCCTTGCCCCAGAAGTACTCCTTTTGGGAAGGGGGTTTGTCATCTTGAAACCAGAAAAAACAAATGATATACTAAAAATCAAACATTGACAATAACATATTTTAATTGTATTTAAAGAAAATTTTTTGTCCTGATTTGTGTATGTTTTGTTGTGTATATAGAGGTGATTGCATAATAGCTCAAAATTAAGTCTTACTCTTGTATATTTTGGGAGGGCAGGTGGGGGTAAAGTTGGGTGGGTATGGAGTTTTGGGGGGGCTGTAGGTGTGTGTGTGGATGTGTGGGTATGCGGGCCCAGAATGAAACAGCCAGTAAATTACCTTAGTTTAGCTTCCATGTGCTGCAATGTAAGAATAACTACAGCAGATCAATTTGAAATGTGGTAATTCTCTCTTCAATTGGTATGTTGAGTGGAGGGTTTTTTTTGTCTGTCCATATCCCAATGTTTTTTGTTTTGTTAGGAAGTTTCTACTAGGTTTTTTTCCCAATGATTTTTTTATTTTGGAAAAAAAAAATCTTCCATTCCTATTTTACCATGTCTAGGTCTCCAGTTCATGAAAACTACTTTCTTGAAGCTTGATGTGATGCTAGTAATCCTTAGCAGGATTGGTCTTACTATAATATCTTTACTGAGTCAAATGTGATGCAAGTTTACCTGGGCAGAAGACCATGCCTATAAGTCTCTTGAAGAACTTTGGTTTGTCTTCAGGTTTCTCTATGTGAAGCATAATTGTAGCCTTTTCTGAACTGGGACCATGATCCAATTTGCTGCATGTTTGTTAAACCAATGTCCATTCTCAGAAACCGGGTCTGTGTTAGCTATCGCATCCCCATTTTAGTAGGCTCCCCTTGCTACTTTTCCAAAGAAATATCTGGGCTTTGTTTTGATTAAATGATGCTTCTGAGATTTCATTGTCAGCTTTAATATTGTGATTAGCATGTAGATGCAGTGCTGGTGGATGCATTAGTCATATAGAAATATCAAAAATATTTCCATGGCACCATACCATTAGTTAGGTGCTTTACAGTCTTAAAGAGACAGATGTGAGATTTTAAGATATTTCAGGGAATAACATTTCAATCCATTAAAAAAATGGAAGATGAGTTTTGATCCCACCTCATCTGCTTTGAAAATCTCAGCCATGATCCATGACTCCAAGTCTTAGATGTACTCTGTCTAGATGTGCCATTTAGGAACAGTCCCACAAGGTGACATCATGGGACATTCTTGCTTTCTGCTTCAGGGAAACAGGGTTTCTGCCAGTCTCTCTTGTACATAGTGTCACATGCCTGTTTTGCTTGCATCGTATGCTGTGTCCCTGCAGTGTACCACTGTTCATGTACAGGAAGTGAACATGAGAATGTAAGAATACAGGGTCAGAACACAGCTCTATCTAACCCCATATCCTGTATCTCACAATGGCAGAGTGTGAATGCTAACAGAAAGGGTATTTATGCAGGGCCTATTCAGCCTGATTTGTCTCCTGTCTGTTTCCCCTGAGGCCCTCTAATGATACCTTGCATTTATTCTGCAAACTTGCACTTTTCTGCCTAAGGGCTTATCATATTCAGGTCCCAAACTGTAAGAAGTATAGAATGTGAAGATGGATCAAAGAAGGGGTGTGACAGGAAGAAAACAAAGGCAAGGGACATCTAGTTGATATAGTTTACTTGAATTTTCAAAAAAGCTTCTGATGGGGTCTCTCACTAAAGGGTATTAATGGGTGCTTGTACACGTGACGGGCTTTTTGTCCTTAGGGTTGCAATCTATGTCCCCTAAATTGAAACAGTGAGTTTTTAATTGAAATGGGGTTTATTTTTCCATCACTGTATATACGTTATTCTCCTGGTGGCCGCAGGCACTCGCTGAAGGCAGAAGTGGCAAGGGGCCTGCCCCATGCAGTGTGGGGCGGGGGGGGCAGTGGGGATCGCACCCTGCCTGGCAGCACCCAGTGCTTTTTTTTTTTTCTCAAAGTGCCGGGAGCTGGGGCGGGCAGAGAGGCAGACATTGCTGGGCTGGAAGAGTAGGTGGGGGGATGGGCCTGGCTGATTTGGAGATTCAGCAGTGGCTGAATCTCGAATCAGATTCAGCCAAATCGATTCAAAACAGTGATTCGAATCACCGAATCGAATCACTGTCCCCTGAATTGGCTGAATCTGAATCCGAAGTGAATACTAGCCACTTCGCACAGGCCTACCCTCAAAGTGTTAGCTGCTTTGTTCAACCCACTCTTTACCTCTTAGCAGCATCCTTTTCTTCTGTCCCTTTCCCTTCTATATAAAACCCTTTCTTTCTGCCAGGACATTCATAGCATCTGATGAAGTATGTTGCTGTCTATGAAAGCTCATGCCTCTCTGAACCAGTTAACCTTTAAGATGCCACACTGCCCTACTTTCTGCTTGACTTCAGACTAATGCAGATAACCAACTTTATGTTCATTTAAATAGATTGAACAGAGTAAGACTGGGTAAATTAGATTGCACTTTGAATTCAGGTGCATTATGGCAAAAAATGACCTCTCTAAGGTATGATTTTTGTAATGAAAAAACAACCAAAGTGTATCTCTTCCCAGGATTACTTTTTTCAAATCTTCCAATTCTAGTGGGCTGCATCACTTATGAATTTGTAGAAGAGTTGCTCATTGACTTGTTTGCAGCAGCAGAGCAAGAATATCTCTGACCAGCTCCTCATTGTGTTTGATTAAAAATAGATATTAAAAAAGAAGATACCATATGCCCCATAGGCAGCGGGTATGGGGAAAAGTCTGAATATTGATTTCTGCTTCCAAAATAACATGAAAACCATGTTTGAAAAATTAAGTATTTGTTTTCTGGACAGCTAGGAACAGAAGACTTATGTTAGATATATATTGGTTAAGCTGTGGTCCTAATGAACTAAAGACTTCTATTTAGAGATACTGACATATTTTGAAATCCTGTCTGCTCTAGAAAGATTGTAGAAAAGGGGCATACTGGCCCCAGATTTTCAATGGTATCCCAATGGAAATTAGACACCTAAATACTTCTGATGATCTGGGTCTTAGGGCATTTATACACATACTCCAGGAGTGTGTGTGGTTGGGGGGGTGGGGGGGGTGCTTTAATTGTAGTGGCTCTGAGAGCTACTCTAATTAAAGTGCCCAGAGTGTCTCTTGTATTAGCATCCCTGTGCTTCACAATGGTCTGGGGGGCACTTTATTTAAAGCTTGTTGAATGAGCTTTAGATAAAGTGCTCCTGCCGCCATTTTGAAGCATGGGGATGCTGATACACAAGATGCGGGACGCTGCTGGAGTCCAGTAATTGCCACACTCCAGCACACTCAATTAATTGAATCTGCTCTGATACACTTGATTTATAGCATGTTGGGGAAGCCTCCCTGCTCATGTATAGGCACCCTAAGATGTTACATTTTTTTGCAGCTGGAACATTTTATTCTGTTTGGTATAGTGAATTCCTGATCCTAAACTTCGGTCCTATAATATCAAGACTTTGTCTTTAATTTTGTTTCAAGGGAGAAATCAGTACTGAATTCTGTAGGCAAAGCCCAATAGTTAAGTTAAAATTTTCAAGTAAGCCAGAGCTCAATCATTCATGCCTGTGTGGCTGTATCACCGGGTAAGTATCTTCTCTTCCAGACTCATCAATCAGGGGCTTCGGATACTCCCCAAAACCATGGCAGGCATCCTATGCACAAGCCTCAAGCTTGGAGGCCTTGGGGTTCAGATACCTCCTAGTCTCAGTTGCTCTACGCCAAGAGACCTAGGAGCAAGACATGAGGAAAGCACAACCTCAGTCCCCCATTACCACATAATTGTGTAGTTGAGTTTCCTGCACTGGGGAAATTCTCAGTGTCAGCCTGTCTGGAGTGTGATGGACAGTTGTCACCCTGGGAAAACCACCTGCTTGATTGTGGTATTTTCCTTGCCAGTTGGATGATGAGATGCTCCAATCTGGAACCAAGACTAATTATGTCAGTGGAGTTTCATATTTAGCAGAATAAGTTAGTTGTGCAAAAATGCGTTAGTTGGCAAATATAATTAATGGCACACAGTGCTCCAGCAGGTTCCATTGTGTTTGAAGCCTGGAAAAATATTGGCTAAAGCTAGGTGAGGCTTGTAGAGCAATATATATTTAATCTTTCTTTAGTGTTCTCTCACTGCTCCTTCCCTCTCCCCCAGTCTAGCTGTAATTTCAGTTTTCTGTGCCGCATCCTACTCTCTGACTTCTCCATTTCTCTAGTCTTTCAAAAATCAAATCTGAATTCAGTAACCTTCAAATCAGAATTAGACTTTCAAATTCATGATGTTCAAATGGTCTTGAAATTATGCAAAATATTTGTCCTGTTTGTCCTCTGTGAATTCATTTTACTTGATTTGTAGAAAATCCTTCATTAGGTGATGATTAACTAGTTGTATCCTTTATACATCTATCTTGATCTTTTGTCCATTAGTTACACCGTTGGATCAGTACAAGAAAACAATGATCAAGTGTGGAAGTTCCAGCGATATTTCTTGGTTCAAGAGTACTGTAATCGTTTGACTATTCCATTTCCTTTTGTCATCTTTGCCTACATCTACATGGTGATGAAGAAATGTTTTAAATACTGCTGTAAAAAGGAAAGCAAAGAGCTCTCCATTTGTTGTAAGTAGAATTGTGTGTTATTTCTACTATCCCAAATAGTACATTTTTATGGCAAATGGATTGCAACCATAACAGGGTATGCTGCAATCCTATTTTAGTTTCACAAGCCAAGTAGGTTTGGACTAGGTTAACTTCTAGATGGTAGACTTTAGAAGGGAAACACTGCAGCACTGAGCAACTGTGATAAGGTAAGAAGCAACCTGGTTTTTAGCTGAGTTGATAGTAAACCATTTTGCTATTAGTCAGAGCAGTTAAGATGGATACAAAAAAATTAGTCCATGACTGTTTTTGTTTAACAAATTTCCTACAGCACACACAACCTAAGACCTTTGGGTTAGCATTTCTAACCTCTACTCACTAGGGGTGCACTGATATATTCTTGTTGGCTGTTGGATCAGCCCTGATAAAAAGAGAAATGACATTATAGCTATCAGATTTTTTTGGTCACTGTGGCCGATAATTAGGGCCACGTGCCCAGAGTATAGTCCAGTCCCTGAGCCCATAGCAGACTACAGGTTCCAGGGAGCAGTGGGAGGAGGCATTAGGGAGCGGTCACAGGGCACTGCGTTCATCGACAAAGGGCCACATACCAGCTTCTGCTGTTGCTGCTGCTGCCATGACAATGCTGCATGCAAATGCTGAACATTGGGGCTGCTATGGAGACATTGGGCTGTGCGTGGGTGGGGTACGGCACCGCATGAAAGATTTTGTTCTGCTGGGTGCTGGGCACTGGGCACCTTTGCAAATGCACCTTCTCCCTGGAAGCCATGGGAGCTCAAATGTGTGGGGCCTGCCAGTGCTGAGGCAGCGGTGTGCTCTGGAGCTCCAAATGCTCTCAGTGCTGCTGTCCAAGCGATGGTCCACCCTGCCCACCTGGGATGGCAGCACAGACTGCATGGGGAGCGGGACTGTGGATAGGAGCCATGGATGAGGAGGCGATGTGTGTAGGAATAAGGTTATCACCACCTTCCTCATTGAGGACCAGAGCAGACAGGAGGTGTGTGTTTGTGCATGATAAATGCAAAATAAATAAAAAATGGTTTATGTTAGTAGTTTAAAATGCCTTGCGCTATTACTAAATATCGGTTATTGTATTGGCATTGGCCAATATGGTTGGTTAATCACTGGCTATCAGTATTGACCAAGACAATCTTTATTGGTGCACTCCTACTACACATCTACCTAATATTTCCTTTGAATTTTCATCTGGACCTAGGACAGTGTTGCTCTAAATTGCTTAGGTTTTTTTGCTTAGTTAAACAGTTCCTTCTTTCCCCCCCAAAGGTTACTGCAGGTGCAAAAATATGTCTGTGTGTCTGTTGTCCAAGAGGGTGTTGAGGCTTAGTTAGCTCATGTTTGTAGACACTTTGAAATCATCAAATTAATTCCATTGTTTAAAAGTTTGTATGGTACTTAGTAGATATGAGAGCCTTTCTTTTTCAGGGCACTGAGTGCATTCTACCAGATACTGTTAGTGCATGGGAATTGTTAGCTTATATCTATGTAGCATGGTCTGTATATGAAAAGCATCATTCATACTGTTGTAGTTGCTGTTAACATGTTGATTGATGGTGATCCTCTCATGGACTAAACCAGATAAGGCTTAGAACAGATTTGATAGTCTGAACAAGCATCCCTCAAACTAAGAATTCTCTCTTTTCAAAGGGAGAGACACATTTGGCCCTCCCTGACTTTTTCCATTTTTACCTTATAGCACTCCCCACACCCACAGTGATTTGTTGATTTGGGCACTTCAGATAGTATTGCAAGAGGGTGACAGACCTGTTTGATCTTGCATGTTTGAAATGCTTACATAGCTTACAATATAAATATAAGTGTAGGCACCCTGCTCCACCATTTGACACTATTTATCTTTGCCCTTCAATTATATTCCTTCAGCTAATGAGGTTTCAGAATGGATGCTACAGGGGCAGCCTATTATGAATAATAACTTCTCCAGAGACTTTCCTGCCCTGTCATGCTTGATTGGAAAAGAAAGCTCATACTCTTTTGTCCCACCCACCCCCTATAGGCCCTGCCAGTAAATGAACTCTGTCAGGAAACCTGTATACAAAAATCCAGGAGTGGTAAGGCCTCTAGCTATTTTCTTTTCATTTATTTTGTCAGTGAGCAGAGATATGAATTGCTTTAACAAGTTTTTTCCCCAACAAATTGAGTGTTGTTGCTTGAATTCTCTTAGCTTGTTTTCTAAGTGCCATTCATAACAAATGATAGAAGATGACTTCAGTTAATTGGCAAGCTTGTTCCTATACATCAGCAGCCTGACTTTCACCCTGCAGCATAGACTGAACCTGTTGTTAGTAAGACACACAGATCCTTAGTACTGTTTAAGTGAACTGGGTTGTCCCTGTTGGTTGTCCCACATTTTACGTTCTCTGCCAAAGTTGTGCTGGTGTTAGAAGTGACAGGGTACTACTTCTTCCTTGTACATTAAAAACCATCCTACCATAGCAACTCTATTAGTGTTGGAGATGCTAATGGCCCAGATGCTTAAATGAATGCTTCAGTAAACATATGGAATGTTTATTGAACACAGAAATGAGGTACCAAAAACATGCCAGGTGATGATAGAAGAACCCTTGAGATAAGGAAAAAAATTGGGTATATTTAAAAAAATACAGAATTTAAAATAAAATTGAGGTGTTCATCAGGCCTGTGCAAAGCAGCTAGTATTGGCTTTGGATTCAGCCAATTCGGGGGACAGTGATTTGATTCAGTGATTTGAATCACTGTCCTGAATTGATTTGGCCTAATCGTATTCAGAGATTCATCTCCTGCTGAATTGGTCAAATCTCCAATCCAACAGCTTCTATCCCCCGCCCGCTCTCCCAGCCCCATCAGTGACTGCCCTGCTGAGCCTCAGAGTCCTGGCTCTTAAAAAAAAAAAAAAAAAAAGGGGGGGAAAAAAAGCCCCGCACTCACTGGTTCCTGATAGGCTGGGGAGGGGGGAGGTGATCCCCACTGCCCCACGCTGAGTGGGGGGGCTCTTCCACAAGCCTCCATTCCCTGCCCTCTCTCCCAGCCCTGACAATAGCTGCCCTGCCTGACCCAGCTCCTGGTTTTTAAAAAGGAAAAAGAAAAAGCCTCACACTCACTGGATGCTGCAGCAGCCATTGGGGCCCCTGGCAGCTCGTGGCAGAGCCCCCCAACATGCCACACAGGGCAGTGGGGATCACCCTCTGCCTGGCAGCAGTTGGTGAGTGTGGGGCTATTTTTTTTTTAAAGAGCCAGGACACTGGGGCCGGATGGGGCTGCAATTGATAGGTCTGGGAGAGCAGGTGGGGTTTGGGGGATGCTCGGGGGGCTGGGGGAGCAGGCAGAGGATGCTCCTGGTGGGGGTCCCCCCATGGTCCCCTGTCCCTTTCTCTACTCCTCCCTCCACTTACTGGCAAAGAGTCCAGGTCCAGCCCTGCAGTGGTGAGTGGGGACTGACTGAACCTCCGAAGCTCTCTGAATCTTTTCTGAATTGATTTGGAAAGCTTCAAATCAATTTGGACCCTTTTATTGGCCTACTGATTTGATTCAGATTCAGAGATTCAGCCACCAAATCAGGCCAAATCTCCTCTGAATCGAATCAACACCCAAGCTTTGCACAGCCCTAGTGTTAATGACTGTCTCAGTAATTGTGTGATTGCCTCTGGGACATCAGTGTGTGGTCTGATAAATCCCCTGTTAGAGGCCTGACTAGAAGAACACCCTTCCATTGTGACTTTCACCCTCAGTCTGTCCACGGTCCTGTAGTGGGCTTTGTCTAAGTTGGCAGGAATTACTATTTTTGCATATCTCTCCCACTGTTTCAGGCAGATGCTACAACTTTAGAGACAGCAGAAACTCAAAGGTCTGCCCCTTTCTCTTCTCTGTGCCTGTTGAGAGACTTTCCACTTCCCACCACTGTTATGAAACAAGCCAAATTATTTTAGAAGTGATGTGGTAAGATCAATGGGACTTAGACACCTAAAAACCTTTAGAGGATGTAGGACTCATACCTAAATATGTATAGACCTCCTCAGTAGTCAGTAAGGTTCTAAATGGTAACTAGGGCTTGCTTCCATAGACCTGTTGGCTGGATCAGCACAGAAAATCATGTGGCAACCTTGGGATTCTGGGAGACTGGAGTTCTGGTTGGATCAATTTGGATTAATTTTTCATAGATTCATGGATGTTAGGGTAGGAAGAGACCTCAAAAGATTATCGAGTCTGACCCCCTGCCTAGGCAGGAAAGAATGCTGGGGTCAGATTTCTTAACCTCAAATACTGTGTTTATGCTCATATGCATATATCATATTTGCATTAGAGCTGTAATCGTTTTGGAATGGGGATGCTAACGTTTTGTATTCAGAGAAATAAATCCCATTAGCCTATGGGAATGCAATCACCAACAGGTCTTTTCACATTGTAAAACTGTAGAGGCAAGTTTAAGTTAATCTAATGCTTTTCTGTATTTCTTAGGCTTAAAATATGAGGACAATGAGATTCTCTCGTGGGAAGCTGTCATGAAAGAAAATTACCTTGTCAAAATCAATACCAAAGCAAATGATTCATCAGAGGAGTACGTCTACTTATTTCTCTGCTTTACTTTTAAACTAAACTTCAGCAAACTATTTTTACAAAAAAAAGTTTAATGTATTTAGAAAAATCTAAGTGTTCATAAATTAAAAAATATAAAAGTGAGCTTGAAGTAGTTCACACACATTCCATGTTAAGTGAAATCTAAAGAGTTATCACATATTTTGGGTGGATACATAGTTGTTTGGACTTGCGGTTATGATATGTTGTTCATGTAGTATATGTTGCCTAGATTACATATATACATAAACATACCAAAAATATTTGCTACCTTGAATAACCTCCAGTCTTCATTTCTGTGTGTCCCTTTTCCTCATGTATCTAAAATGGATCTAATGATGCTTTCCTTCTCTGTAATGTTTGAGGTCTGCTGATGAAAAGTGAAAAGTAAGAGCTAAGTAGTGGCATATTGTTATTTTTATGTAGATGAATAGAGAATATCTAACATATAATTGAGAAATTATGTTGTCCATAAACATAAAGCCTAGTGGGAATCTTTACTTGGTTCCAGTCCACTAGTAGATAACACCTCCATTCTTTTTTATATTTGGACTTGAAGGGTGTTTATACACATGCTCTGGGAGGCGGGGCAGGGGTGGGTGCACTCTAATTAAAGTACCTGGAGCATCTCATATATCAGCATCCCCCCCCACTTAAAAATGGTGGCAGGGACACTTTAACTAAAGCTTGTTTGACATGTTGAATAGTTTTAACTCACAATGTCATCTGCAGTGGTCCCCCCACACCATTTTTAAGCATGGGGATGCTGATACACAAAACACTGGAGTCTGCTGGAGTGTGGTAATTACCATGTTCCAGCAGACTCGGTTAATTGAGCCTGCTTTGACACGTTGTAATTACAGTGTGTAGGAGCATCCTTGCTGCTCATGTATAGATGCCTGAAGGTCCTAACATTTCTTTTATTTTGAATAAATAAAATAAAACCTCAGCCTTTTTTTAGTATAACTAAGCCAGACTGCTTGAATGGAGAAAAGTAGAACTGGGTTTAAAAAGCAAAGTTACCAAAAGACTTAGGGTAAAGTAAAATGTCACTTTGTGGGCCTAAATAACATGTAGATATGCTCTGGAGACTTGAATGCTGGACCATTCCTTGTAGTCCTTCCCACCAGCTCAAGGAGCATAGGAAAAGCAGGGGAAGGAGCCAGGCTGAAAAAAATTTGGCCCTATATTTCTCCACCTATGGCAGATCATGCCACTTGGAGCGCAAGGGTGGGCAGTGCACTGTATTTTAGCCTTCCTGGACACTGGGGCAGATGCCGGGTGTCCAGCATGTGGAGTAGCTCACAGGGGTCTGGTGTTATGGCAGTCTGGTCGAGAATCATTGGATGAAGCACTATCCAGAAGTTTCTGCAGCACTTCTCTTGAAGCTGTCCCACTGGGCATCAGGAGCAGGAAATGTGCAGGGCCAGGAGAACAAATCAGAGGGTGTGTCTCAATGAGATGAATGCTGTTCTGGTTGGAGGGGGCTCTGAGTTCTACCTGAGCTATTGTACCTAGCACAGTAGAAACTTTCCTAGTGCTGTTTATTAATTCAATCCATTTCATCCAGTGGATACAAATGCAAGGTGGTTCAGCTGCAGAAGGAGGGCTGAAGAGGGTTCTTGGCAATATCCAGCCTGTGACCTCTTGGTTAGAGCAGTGTTCTGGGAAACAGAAGATACAAGTTCTGACCCTCACTGCATGTAGAACCTGGGTCTCCTGCTCCCTAGGCAAGTGCCCTAGCTGCTAGTTTATTGGACTAAAATGTGGGAGGGCTGTCCTTCTCCAATTTACTCTTACCAGCTATGTCTAGAGGGCTGGTTTATTTTGTTGTAGGATGGAACAGAATGCAAAGCTGTGCAGAAGTACCAAAAGCAGCAGTTAGATGTTATGTATGTGCCAATTAGGTGTCTAAAGTGAAATAGGATTTAGCCCTTAGGGCCCAGTTTGGAAAAGCTGTATGAAACTTCATTGAAAATACTACTGAACTTAAGAGCAATTCTCAAAGATATAAAAGGTGTTTTTCATTTCCAGCTTAATTATTGAAAAGCTGATAAGTCTTAGTGGAAAGGTTTCTTATTTCTAGGGCATGACACTGCCCTGCTGTGAACATTTCCTTCCTAACAGGCATAAGCTGAAAATTAACCTGCTTAACATCAAGTAGCCAGCTAGTCTCAAAGGGCATCTATACACGTGCTCAAGGGTACGGTGGGGGGTGCTTCAATTAGAGCAGTTCTGAGACCTGCTCTAATTAAACTGCTCACAGCATCATGTGTATTCAGTGTCCTGCACTTCAAAATGGCAGCAGGGACACTTTAACTAAAGCTCATCGAACAAGCTTTAGTTAAAGCGCCCCTGCCACCATTTTGAAACACAGGGATGCTGAATACACATGACACAGAGGCTCTTGGAGCACACTAATTAACACACTGCAACAGACTCACAGCAAACTTGATTAATCCATCACGCACATAGTTGCCCAAATGAACTTCATATCCAAAAGAGCCATGCTGGTGATACTGACAGCAGCCTGGATACTTAAACTTCTCTTAATTGTAATAAAAATTCTATGCAGGTATAATTATTGCCACATTCTGGAAAGTCTAATGGGAATAGTTTGAACTCACAGAGTCATCTGCAATTATTTATAGTTCTTTCATTAACCAATGCACACCTAGAATACAGAAGAATTTTAGAATTCCCCAAGCCACAGTTGCTCTAGACCTGATTTTAGACAAGTACTTCAAATAGGCATCCTATTTTACAGAAAATGAATGGACTATTGCAGAGTTTTACAATGTATCTACTGGATACTGTCAACAACTGATAATTTAATTTTTAGCCCCACAATTTTCACTTTGGTGTATGTTGTCTTTCCACAGGATGGAACATCGATTTAGACAACTGGATGCAAAGGTACTTTGTTTTTCATGTAGTCCAAGAGCTGATAGTATATATTTAATTTGTACAGCTTTACTTATCATCTGAGCTCAAATTTTCTTAGGACACCTTTTTTCAAGGCATAATCATAGATTGAGGTAAGTTAGAGGCACTGTTATCTTGTTGGGGTTACCAAGTAGAGTGGATGACTACACGAGTTGCAAGTTAGAGACAGTGGATGAAAGCTGCAAGCTGCAGAACTACAAGCCTACTATGTAATGAAGATCCTCTGAACCTCATTAGGGGATGGAGAATGCAGTGACTAGAAGGGGCAGACCAAAATGAGATATAAACTAAGCTCTGAGTCAGAAAGCTAGTCTGGCCCAGGCAAAGGCACTGAGAGGAGCTCTCTTTATAGAGCTAAGAAGGTGTGCAGTAGCTGTAAGCAGGCCCAGAAGGGCTGTGGAGACTGGAGGAGAGTGAGAAAAACAGTGGCAAACCTGGTTTGGTTATGTTTTGGTTTGGATTCTGAGCAAAGAAACTGCAAAGTATCCCTTATAAATCACAATAGGAGGCTGCTAAAGGGACCAAGCCTGAGCTGGGGCCGAGCCTGAGCCTGAGTTGGGCCACAGAGTGGTAACTCAGTGATAAACAGGGCAGAGAAAGATACCTAAAATGTCACTCTAGGAAACTGAGCACTGCCTCCCAAATTTATTTCAAGTAAGATCAGGTGTTGCAGGTGAGTACAGGGTACCACCCCGGGAAACCGGAGTATCAAACAGACTTGTGTTGGGGTCCAGAGCCACTTTTACAGGCAGAGGACTATTATAGAACTGATTTCAATGGGAATGGTAGGAGTGCTAGCTGACAAAGAAAATAAATTGACAGTAATGTGTGGGCCTCTGATGAGGTTACAGCATACCTGAGAGAGGCAACTGTAACACACTGCAGTCCTCTTGTAGTGTCTCCTTTTATATGGACTGTCTTCAAGTAAGATGTTCCCTAAAAGACATTCAAAATCGATCTAAGTTGCTCTGTTTTCTGTTAGTGGCATAGTTTAGAGCTGCATAGAAGTCACACCTGTTGCTTAATTGCTGGTAAACCTTCCAGAGTAGGAGACAAATAGCTGAAGGCTCTTTGTGGAACAATATGTTTTTTATCTTGTTATAAATACATGTCGAAAGAAGATGTTCCATGCAACAATATTCGCCCTTGTCTGGATAGTTATTTCCATCAAGTTCCCCTATTACATCAAGTAAGATTCTGATATCCTTTTGTCACTTTACCCTGGGAGAACACCCATTGACTTCTTGGGGATCAAGATTAGACAGTAATAGTACAGGCATTGGAAACTGGTGCTAGAATTTGATGTGTAAAGGTAACATTGAAGCAAAAGAAGTATTGAAGGAAACAGCTGTCTATTAAACCTGTTTTTATAGGAGACTGGTTCAACAGTACTCTATTGAATTGTAATCTACTATCCCATTGTAAGTAATTTGAGTAATTTGGAGCCAGTTGCTTTTATGAATCCTGCTTGTTTAAAAATGTAAATGATGTATATGTTAGTTCTCACTGCATTAATTGCACTGATGGAAATTGTAATTGCTACAGATCTTTCATGTATGTTCTGTGTGGGGCAATGTTTGGAGAGGCTCTTTTGTTACTCATGATAATTTCCCTGTGAAAAGAAGTATAAAAACTGCATCATTTGTCACTGCAACTGTGTGTCTAGTGAATATACATAACAGTAGGTTATTGCTCATTCATTAACAGCTGGCATTCTGAAGGCAACCAAGGAAGCATAAATTCCACTTGAGTATGCTCTGTGAGGATGCGTTCTAGAATATGTTACATCATTTCTAATTTGCTTCATAATTCTTTTTGCCCATTATTAAAGCTTCAAGAATGTCCTGGAAAAAAAAGTTAGAATGAGTTTAAATTAATAGAAGCCTGTTGTTTTTTAGCTCAGTGATCTGAAGGGTCTTCTGAAAGAGATCACCACCAAAATCAAGTGACAACAACCTGAATCTAGATGAAGCCCACTTCAGCAGTGTAAGCTTGCTTTTAACTTATATGCGACTACATTCAGTAATCAATCTCTCTGGTGTTAATGTATCCAGTGAAGAGGAAGTGTTCCATTTGGCACAGGTTATCACATTTTCTAGGGGAGCACTTCAAGACTCAGATTTTCATTCTCACTTGTTTTCTGTAGATTAAATGAGAGTATCTCCCATGACCATCTATACTTTCTGGATGTAATTTTAAAAAATTGTGTTAGCTGCAGTCAAAGTGATCTTATTTTAGCCCTTGGTTTGCATAAAAGCGATGAAGTACACCCACTTATTTATCTATGTGTGTACTAGTGGCCTCAAACTGAGAACAGGACTCCATTGTGCTTGATGCTGTGTGTTCCCAAGGGATCTTATGGATCCAGAATGTGTATGGTAGCTAAAGGAGTTTAAGTCCCTGTCTTGAGTGATATAAAAGAGAAGTAGAACAATACCCAAGCTAGCAAACACTGGCTGCTACTTTAGCAGAAAAAGCAGAGCAAGAAATATGACTATATCAAAATAAGGATAATCTGGGAGGATTATGGAAAACTATATTTAGGTTTTTTTGTCCTCTTTTTCAGAATTTGGAGACATCCTCCTTGTACAGAATAATTTCTGTACAAATTGCATAGATTCTGTTCTGCACTTGCTCGTCTCATGGGAATTATTTTGTATCCACATCTTGAAGATGTAAATGACTACACATGATTCAATACAGCAACATGCATTAGGGTAAAAAACACACTTAGAAAAGAGCTTAGGCCCAAATTTTCATAAGTATTGAGGTACCTATATGTCTTTCAGCACCTGGGTCTGTTTTTTTCTAGTCTTTGCCCATGACCTTAGATAAAATAAATTCCATGTAATTATAGTTTTAAAGGTAAATATCTGAACTGCTATCTGATGTGGACTGACTTAAAGGTCTCATAGTTTGGGGATTAATCTGGTTCCTATTAAATAAAGCATAATGGAAGTCATGAATGTCAGGATCTCAACTGTTTTAATTTGGAGACTGCTAAATCAATGGTTTAAAATACTGGGCCCATCTGAAGACACCAAGTCTATATTTATGCTGATAGGCTAAAGCAAACCTCAAGGTTGACTGCAAGCTTTACCTGCCAACCATTGACACTGTAAATCCCTTAGTTCAGCCACATTGGGCATCTAACCAGACCCTGGTAGTTCTGCCAACCTTCTGATTATGAGGTCAGTCTAGCTCACCTCTCTATGCCGTGCTTGGATCTCACCTGGGCATGAAAGCCTTCAGCTCACTAAACCCATCTCTGAAAATGCTACAATTTCCCATTTATTTCTAGTCCTTGTGCACGTCGTTTTTTCTGTATTACCTATACACAGAGGAAAGCCAGAAGGAAAGACTGGTTGTCCACAGACCAGTTCCTAGCAGGTCTCTGTTTTGAGTATAAGCAGCACAGTGTGGCCAGCGTTGGTGTGGGCTAAATGAGGTGATAGATGACTTGAGCTGGTTGAGGGTGACCTCAGAATCAATCCTGACTGTCAATATAGACCTACCCTTATTGCTGACATCTGTTTTGTGGTTTCTTTGCCCAGTTTTTCTTTCATGTGAGCTGTCCAGGTTCTGAAGTTGAACTTCTGCAGTGTAACCAAGAAATAACAATGAACAGGAAGGCTACTGTTCCACAGCAAGCAGCAGACCTTTGCCAAGGAAGACAACAATTTGTTCAGTCAGAACAGCAGTGTCTGTATACACACTGCATACTAGTAGCACAGGGGCAAATAATTGCACAAAGTGCAGACCACTACAGAATCAGGCCTATAACCCTGAAAAAAAATGCATGTAGACGATGAGGAATTGATGTCCCCTAGACATGTCAGATCAACCATTGTTCCTGCTTACCATGATAGAAAACAATATAAGTTTCTGAGTAAACATTGAGGGGGAGGGAGGAGGATTATTATTATTAAACAGGAGGGCAAGAATAGACCCAGCAGCAAGATACTTTTATGTACTTCATTAAGGATTAAACTTTTGTGTTCCAGACAGATAGCCATTAGAATGAAAACAACATGTGAAATGTGATTGCATCTGGGAGAGCTGTTCAACAACTATTTATTTTATTTTCATTTTGCAGGTACTGAATTACTCCTTGGAGAAGTATTAAAGAGGAATGGATCCAACAACAAACGGAGGTGCCTAATAATGAGTTGGCATGATTCTTGGTGCTTTAAAAATCTCTTTTCTATCTATGCTTCTGAAAGATTTAGGCCTCAGTTTTTTATTCACACTGTTGTCTTACACGAAAGCAGCAAGGAATTGAGGGATATTTCTCTTCCTGATGCTTCACACTGCTTTGTGTATGCATCTGTCTTGTGACACCTTGTAAGTTCTCTCTTCCTGTGACACCACCTTGTGGTGGTGTGGATGTTCTTGTAGACACTTTTTGACAAATAAGTGACTTCTAATGTAGGAGGCTTGATGGTCCTTGCTCTTTCAGTTCTATATTTGTCTCATTTATTGCCTGTTTTCCAGGTCCTTAAGGTCTATTGTTAGCAGCTGCTTCTAGGGAACATCCCTAATTTTGCCTTCTCTTGCTACGGCCAAAGCCCATTTACCTTTGAATCTTATGAGCACATAACTTGACAGTAATATCAGCTAGGCACCATTGTTGCTTTTCTTAGTGAGAATCTTCAATGATCCTTCCTTTCCCATGCCTTGTTTGCTACTCACATAGTGTATTTACAAACAATGACCACATTTTCAACACTGGCATATAAGAATGCAAGATTTTGTCTCAACATCTCTAATGGGAAGCATGCCTTATTTCCTGGATTCCTAGATAATGATAGTGATTTCTGAACAGGTTATGAGGCTGCATATTGTAGTCCAGTTCCTGACTATCTATACCAAAACACTGAAGAGATTAAGTGAAAGGGCAAGTTATTTCTAAAGAGCTCAGGTAGAAGTGCTGCTTTTAGCTTCAATGATATTTTAAATGCCCAGGATGTTGAAATTGGTTCTAAAATGTTCACATTTTTGTAATTTTTTTTCTGTTCTGAATCTTTAACGTGTAAGAAAGTTTATCACTCTTTAAACTTTAATCCTTATTAGATCAGGCAGTTGAATGCAGCAGTTAAGTTAGCTTAATAGAAAAGACGATGCAATTAGATATCACATAAAAGGGCATTAGGTCTTTGGGAAGCACATTTGTGTTCTCCAATCCAATCCAGGCCTGTTTCCACTAGCTAAAATACAGAAATTAATCTGACCATAACTTTGAACCAAAGCAAATAGCTCAGACTTCTAAGTGGTTATTTCAGTCTCTGGGCTTGGTCAGAAATGCTGGCGTTGAAACAATGAAAAGCAGTGTGTATTAAAAGGCGTGCCTTTGAAAAAAAAATCAGTCCTTTGATAAATTGTGTTGTATGCTTTCCTTATTTTACTAGCTTGTGTTTTATTTGGAACAAATGCTTTTGCTTTGACTCTCAATAGCAGGAAAATTATTAAAAGAACACTAGTCCAGGTTCAAAAGCTGGACTCTTGTTGAAAATAATGGAGACTGATTAGCATGGTGTTCATTTATTATCCTAAACATCATTGCAATACAGAAAATCATCTTGAAGTTAGTATTAGACTGTTGCTGACCATTGTATGAGATGTGTACATATCTGGCCATCATAATACAATAGTATTTTTCTGTAAGCTTCCAAACTGTGCTGCTGATCATATAGATACACTATTGTTGTTTGTTCCTGTATTAGTGATATAAGTCTGCCAAGCTGTAGCAAATTCCCAGATTTGCAAGTCAGCTTCCCACAGAAGAGATATCTATGATACTGGAGACTGCTTATGTTCTAAGTATAATCTGCTTTATTTATATTTCACTAGTCCTGCCTGAAGCAAAATGATCAAACAGCATGCAGAGCAGAAGCAAGTTACGTCCCAGTAATTGGCATATTTCACAATGCATTATCATGTGGATATCCTGAATCTTTGACTGGAGACATTTTTGCTTTTGCTGTAGTCTTCCACTGAGGGGATAAATGGCAGTGAGCCCATCCCCACTTCTCAGTTTGCTCTCAGCTATGGAGTTCTGAAGGTCACTGACTGAGGAATAGGGGAAAAAGGGTATGAGGACAATATATCTCTAAGAACTCCAGTTATTGGTTAATAATTTCCTTTTCTATATTGAGTTGTTATCCACACATACATTCTTACATGTGGGAGATTCCAAACCTATGCCCACAAATACTTGGAGGTTGAGTCCAAGTCCTACAGGCAAGCAGAAATTGGACTACTGCTCAACCCAAAGGCAGTTTCCCTACTTGAGGCCTCCCCCATATTGTAGTACTTAGTAAAGGTAAGGATTGAGGTCCATGTTGTTGCTCATAGATGTCCCCTTTAGGAATTCCACATTAAGAAGTAATGGATGTAGATTGCATCCTGATGGAGTAGGCTCAAATTAAAGCAAGTGGCTTCACCTTGAAAGTCTCATATTGAAGTTAACACAACCTGAGATCCAACCTGACAGCCTTGGGGAGGAAATAACTGTGGCTTTAGATATTTCAGCTTTGGTTATTCATAAAAGCAGAGTTTTTTTTTCTTTCAATATTTGGTACTGTGCAAATGAAGGGCTAGGACCCTCTTGACTTTAAGGGTATGTGGAGAAACCTTGGTTCAAGAGGTATACAGCTTTGGAAAAAAGATGAGCAGGGTAATCTGCCTTCTCTTGTGGAATTCAGAGACTACTTTCAGCAAAAATTTAGGATGAGTTTGCAATACCACCTTGTCTGGATAGAAAGTAGTGTAATCTCCTACTCTCTTTATCTAAGTAACTGGCAACAAAATTATCATTTTCCTGTGGAGATGGAGGAAGGAATATGATGCTGTCAACTTGAAGAATGGTCACGTTAAAGATCCAAAGACCAAGTCTAAGTCTCACACTGAGAATGGCTCTTTAATATTGTGGGGAAGGGGAGAATTTGGCTACAATCTTGAGAAACCTGAGTGTATTAGGATGACAAAATATGGCCCAGTCTTTAGTATATGGATGTTGGTTGAAATCACTACCACATGGACCCTTATTGAGCTGAAGACAGGCCTACAGTCCTCAATTCCAGCATATAATCCAGGATAGATGTAACAAAGGATAGAGTTGCTGAATGACCTTATTGCAGGAGACTGCTATATAAAGGTAACAAGGTGGCATGATGGCATTGTTTATAGGAAAGAATATTATTGATAACTTAGGTGGTTGTAAAATGTTTGCCAGTGAATGACTCAGGGTCTCAGTGATTCCTTTTGGGGACAGTTGAATATTTTTTACAAGGTATATAGGAAGATCTTGGAAACCACCAGATTTATCAGCCAAAGGGATGAGCAGAGGAGAACAATGCCAGAAGAAGATTTCCTAATCTTTTCTTGCAGCAACAATGGAACTGGAGGGAAGGAACAACCCATGGCCTATGATGGAGGATGAGCTAAAGGACTCTTGAAGACAGGGCAAGTGCAATTTTGAGTTACCAGAATGGTGAGCATTTTTCTGGATTCTTCAGGACAAGACTATCATAAAGATGAAGGCTAAAGGAGATAATAATTGCTTAGTCCCATAAATATTTCCAAAATCCTCTGAAACAATTTAAAAGGCAAAAGATTAAAGATTAAACAAGGAGTTGCAAATGCTGATAACTGTATCAGTTAGGTAGGTTGTGTTACGGAAACTATGTGGTACCTGCCAGCACACTATGTACATTTGGATCTTGCTATGGTTTGAAGTCAGTCTGGTGACTGAGATAAGGGATATAGATAGCTGTGGAACTGATTATACTATGAACAAGATGCTTTAATTTCTGTTTCCATTATATGGGTTCACATAGTGGTTATACAAAGTCTATCAGAGTAGAAAATGAGGTTTGGTTTGATTTAGTAAGTTGAGACTGAACTAACAGGAGCACTTCGGGGGTTACCTGAGAAAGCAAGCATGACTTGGGCTGTTTGGGGGTTAATGTAGTACACTGAACTGAATGGTTAATGTAGTACACTGAAGTGGCTGACCTCAAGTTTATATCCTGACCTGTCTCTACAAATAAGATTTGGAACATGGTCTGCATATTGGAAATAATAGTGATTGAAGATTCAGCTGGTGTTGTGTGGAACGGGCTGTATTCGATCTGGATTCAGATTTGGCCTGAATTGGGGAAAGTGATTCAATTCGTTGATTTGGATCACTGTCCCAGTTTGATTTGGCTGAATCCAAATCTGAAGATTCGATTGTTGAGTCAGAGAATCAGCTTTCTGGCCATAGACACAGCTTTAACTGTTTTTTCTACATACCTCAAAGTACCAGGCACAGCTCATGAATGCTGTGATGCTGGGGCAGATGGAGCATCCCACAGGCGTGGGGGGGGGGGGGGGGGCGCCATATGTTTAGCAGCAAACCTGGAAGTGGATTGGAAATACTTCTGGACCACTTCTGGGTCTGCAATTGAGCATGCAGGGGCCCCTCCCACACCCCCCGGCTGGGCAATTGGCTGTGTGGGGACTCTGGGTGCCCCCCCAGACCCAGGAGGCACCAGTCGCCAAGCCAGGAGGGCATGGGGGAGCACCCCCATGCGCTCCTTGGTGGACTCAGAAGCAGACCAGAAGTGCTTCTGGTCCACTTCCAGGTCCACTGCAAAGCACGCTGGGGACCCCCCCATGCTCCCATGGGACGCTTCATCCACTCCAGCATCTCAGCATTCACGAGTCGCCTGGTACCTTGAGGTACATAGAAAAAAACATTTATAGCTGTGTCTATGTCTGAATCATCGAATCTTTCTGAATCTCCCCGAATTGATTCGGAGGGCTCCGATTTGATTCAGAGAGATTAAAGGGTCTCCTGATTTGATTTGGAATCAGAAATTAATCCACTGAAAGACCCCCCCATGCTCCCATGGGACGCTTCATCCACTCCAGCATCTCAGCATTCACGAGTCGCCTGGTACCTTGAGGTACATAGAAAAAAACATTTATAGCTGTGTCTATGTCTGAATCATCGAATCTTTCTGAATCTCCCCGAATTGATTCGGAGGGCTCCGATTTGATTCAGAGAGATTAAAGGGTCTCCTGATTTGATTTGGAATCAGAAATTAATCCACTGAAATGGGCTGAATCTCTGCCAAATCGAATCAGTGACTGAAGCTTCGCATAGTCCTAATGCTGAATGCCACTGTTTGGCATGAAAGTACTGCTGATTGTGGGATCTACTGATGTAGCATCTAAAA